AATGAAAGACTGAAAGCAACGATTCTTTCGCTATCCGGGTGACAAATGACCATTAAAGAACTGTAAAAATTTTGGAGCCATGGATAATAAAATGTCAGAAAATGCAAAAATCTTAACTTATTTATGAATGCCAGCTTGGCATTATTCTCAACTTATTTAATTTGAAGAGATTTTAAAGGAAAAAACGTTGAAATATTGTTTTTAAAAAATAAACTTTGAAAAGATACGCATTGCCCAAACCTCTCTTCGTTGTTACGACTAGTGTCATTGCCACATCACATTTCTAGGAAATTTAATTTGATCACTGATTCGATTAGTAACATGTGTTATCATTCATTTAATGCAGCTTTTGTTTGATAATAGTATTAATATGTATATATAGTTATTTTCATTAATTTCATCTTTTTGCCAAAGTTATTTTAAAAAGTTTTTTTGTCTCCATTTGTAAGAAAAAGGAAACCAGAGTGCACTATAAAAAGAGAGTGCTTCCTTAAGAGAATCATGCAATCTAAACACTAAAACCAACATATCCAAAAATAGCCGAAAAGAGAGAACTAAAATCACCAACATGGTAGAGGTTTATAAGTTATGGACTTTGATAGTTTCACTCATAGTGTTGAAGCTATGTCATTGGATCTATCAATGGAGCAATCCAAAATGTAATGGAAAGCTTCCTCCTGGCTCCATGGGTTTTCCGATCATCGGAGAAACTTTTGAGTACATGAAGCCTCATGACGCTATTCAGTTCTCAACATTCCTCAAGGAGAGAACCCTTAGGTTTGATCATTTCTCTAGCATGCATGCATTAATTTTGTTATGTATGTTTAGATGTATTTTGTCTTAATTAACTTACTTAAGTTTCACGTTGTCTTTGCTTTGTGATTTGTTTCTTCTATGGGAAAACATAAAAGACATGGACCACTTTTTCGGACAAGCTTATTTGGAGGCAAAGTTATAATCTCGATGGATAATGAGTTGAATATGGAGATAGCAAAGACAAATTATGTTCCTGGTCTGACAAAGAGCATAACCCGTCTATTTGGAAATAACAACTTGTTTTTACAGAACAAGGAGGCTCATAAACATGCCCGAAACTTGACATTTCAGTTGTTGGGTTCACAAGGTTTAAAATTGAGGATACTAGAAGACATTGATCACTTGGCTCGCAAATACATGGAGGAAGGGGCTAGAAACGGCTACCTTGACGTCAAGGAAACAGCGAGCACGGTAAGAAAAAAAGTTATTTGTTTCGCGCTATATAGTCTTTATCGATTGGCAATACTACAATCAATATTACCAAGAAACAAAAAATACAATCAATTAAATAAGGTTTAGATAGGATATTTGGATCATCTCAAAAAGTTTTTTATATCATCAAATGTTACAGATCTTAATTGAATGCCTTTCGAAAAAAGTTATGGGTGAGATGGAACAAGAGGCGGCGAGAGAACTCGCACACTGTTGGAGATTTTTTCCGAGTGGCTGGTTTAGATTTCCCTTCAACATTCCTGGAACAGGCGTCTACAAAATGGTGCAGGTACTTATTTTCAATTTAGTACAAGAAAACAGTCGATTTGGCCTATTCCATCAAAAATTGGTCGGAAATTGTCATTTGTGCAAAAGAATTGAGTTCGTGATCATGGTGACTTTTCGTGGCAGGCAAGAAAGAGGATGATGAAGTTACTAAAGGAGACAGTGTTGAAGAAGATAGAATCTGGAGAGGAGTTTGGAGAGTTCTTCAAGATCATATTTGGAGAAATGGAAGGAGGAAAAGAAAAAATGAGCATAGAGAATGCGATCGAGTACATATATACCTTCTTTCTAGTTGCTAACGAAACAACGCCACGAATCGTTGCGACTATAGTAAAAATCATAAGCGAAAACCCTAAAGTCATGGAGGAGTTGCGTAGAGAGCATGCGGAAATTGTAGGGCTTAAGACTGAGAAGGAGGCCGGCCTAACATGGGAAGATTACAAATCCATGACTTTCACTCAGATGGTGAGTAGTATGTTCCAAAAGAATATATAATATCTAACATTCTACTCGATGTCAATTGGTTTTAGTATAAACAAATACGTTATTTTGTTTCAGGTGATCAATGAATCTCTTAGGATCACAACCACGGTGCCAACGGTACTTAGAATACCCGAACATGATATCAAAGCGGGTGATTATACGATTCCAGCTGGTTGGACCTTCATGGGCTATCCTAGTGTCCATTACAATCCCGAAAAATACGATGATCCTTTTGTATTTAATCCATGGCGTTGGACGGTGAATTTAAATTTGAGCAACATGAATTTAGTACTTATTTACTCCCAGTTCCACTAATCAAATTCTAAACTTTCAGGGAAAAGACTTGGGAGCGATAGTCTCCAAGAATTACATTCCCTTTGGTGCTGGTCCAAGACTATGTGTAGGAGCTGACTTCGCTAAGCTGTTGATGACCATTTTTATCCATCATTTGTCTAGATACAGGTTTATTAATTTTTATGATCATCTAATGACTCATGATTCAATTTATTTATATTATTAAAGTCAAAGTCTTTGTACTTATGGTTTTGTAGGTGGTCTATGAAGGCAGAGACCACAGTAATTCGAAGGTATATGCTTACGTTTCCACATGGATGTGATGTTCAAATCTCTGAAGACACCAAAGTGGAAGATAACTCGTTAGCTGGTTATTAGAGTGGTTAAGTATTCCATATTCGAGGTTGCTTATTCGAATCCCCAAGAGTAAAACTATATATATGCAATGATCCTGATTGTGATGTATAAAAACCATATAGTAAGAAGCAGTGGTCATCAGTTTGTATGTTTCTATTGAATAAATATAAGTAATGATATATGAAGTAATTACCAAAAGCCTAATGAGACAATGGTCTGACTGAGAGAGTGTAAGAATTTCTGGAGATGACATCGAATTG